AAAGCTTTGAAGCAGTCACACACATGCTAAGCATTGGGCTTCACTGACACCTAAAAAGCTGCCAAAAGACATTGGGTCCATGACAGGCATCCCATGGGAAAACCGTCAAGAAAAGGAGAATAGACCACTTGAATGTAATTCATGTCATCTATGTGCTCAGCTCCTTTATACATATATATCAGCTGCACCAAAAGAGGGACATATCCTGGTGCTCGTGCCAAGTGCTCAGGGGAAAAGCTTTCAATCAATAACAACAGTAGGTTTGATAAAGATCGCATCATTTGTCCTCAAAGGTCAGCTTCACCATCTTGGATGGAGGAAAAAACCTCAGGAAGTTTTGCAAGAAAATAGCTAGCCCAAATACTGGAACAAAATACACCTGTTTTATTCGCTGAAATGCTCAGACATGAAATATATCAACAGAACACCATCAGTCACTAACGAACACCAATTTCACAGGTGTTTTTTAAAAACAGGCTAGCATCATCTATGGGCATCACTTAGACTCCAATCTACAGAGAAAGGATAAACAAATGATCACTTTGCAAAAACCTTAAAACTGGTATTTTAAGAATCATTTAAAAAAACCCAGGAGGTAGTGAGATAGAGATTTGAACTAGGAAATTCAAGTGCTTTAACTTGAAGAGTTAATGTTTACCGACAGAATAGGAGGTTACATTTGGCTCAACTATATTCCCTTTTTATCTGTGACATACTAACACCGGCAAGACCAGAGGTATGCTAGGGTTGCTGGAAGTTGCATCTACTTGCAGAGAAGCACACACAGATATGTCTTAGAACTCGTGAAAAATCGAGGATTAGTCAATCTCTGGTCAAGTCTTCGGTGCCTAATGACCAAAGAAGAGTGGCCTATGCCAGACACATTACCTTCATACCACTGGCACGGTAAGCTTCATACCACTGCCAAGGGTAACCACTGCTAATCTTTAACAGTCAAGTAAACCTTCACTGGGGGAAGACATGAAAAGCTGGCTCAACTGGCCTTAAAGGGAGAACCAGAACCACACCAGCAATGTTCATGTACAGCAGTGAGCAAAGCTTTCCTTCTCTACTTGCACTGAGAAAATTGCTGCTGCCACCTTTACTTGAAAAAACAGCCCAATACCCTAATCTCCTGAGATGTGATGATGCTATTCCTTATTCAGAGAACAAATGCTATTTTCAGTTCTTCCACTGGGAAAAAACACGCACAGTATTTAAAAAAAAAAACAAAGTTTCAGGACCTAGCCATGACAAAAAGCCAAAACTAATATGATTTCCAACAAAACACTGGAATGTACTCTGCAAAACAGCTACAGTCCAGTGGATATCAACTGTTGGTGGCCTTCCACTACAGCTAACTACATACCGCCGATATTAGCTATCAGTCATTTCAACCCCGGGCAATGGATTGTTGTTCATTATCTCAATTTCTAGTTTTTAACCATTTTTAAGCAGACACACAAAATTAGAATCCTTCTGACCCTAAAACTTGCTTCCTAAACCTACCAAATCCCCTGCTCATGCTTTCATTTCATTCAGGGCATACTGTAATTCCCTCTGACGAATACAGTGGGCATGAGGAAAACGCTGGAGAGCTTCACACAATAGTGCCACGTAGGACTGACCACAGTGGAATGCAGCAGGGCAAAGGTATGCTTTCCAGGGTAAGTGACTGTCAGGATTGGAAGAAACAAATTGAGGGCCTTTTCATCTGTGCATTACACGTGCTACTAAAGAAAGGTGCATCATGTCACCTGGGCTTTGTGAGGATCACAACTGAAAATACTATTTGTAATGAAATATTTTACATGTTGGATTCAGGCTTAATTTCTTCTGACAGCTTTTTATATGTCAAATTAAACCATTCATTGACCTTAACCATCTATTAGTTTAAATGTAGACAGTCATCTAGTCTCATGAATAGATGCTACCTGAAAGATAATGACAACTACAGTGAATTTAGTTTCACTCACGCAGGCAGAGTTCATAGTTCAGAGCTGAAACTGCAGGAGGGTAAATAATTGCACTTAGCCAATAATGCGTGAGATTTACAAAGCAAGAGCATCTTTGTGCAAAATGTGACCCTAAGCAAATACCAGGAATTATCTGCCCTTTTACCAATCCCCACCCATGTTTTGATTAGAAGAATGGAAAACAAAACAAAAACACCCACCCAAGAACAAGCAGGCTTGCCCACATGTTGTCCAAGGGATGATCAAAATGTGTGCATCCATCTTTTTATCAGTGTTTCTAAACACTGGCAAAGTACTTCAAAAAGCAGAATACCTGTAACTTATTCAAGGCTACAGCCTGTTATTCCACTGAGCTATTCACCAAGCTTTCAGGAGTGAGAATGATTACAGAGAAAGCCCAAAAACTTTACTGACTATAAGCAGCTAATCAAAGAGTACCTACACAACCAATCAGTCGAGTAGGTATCTAATCAGCTGGCCTTTCTACAGACAGCTGAGCTGCAGCTGGATGAAGCTGTGTACACGCAGCCCAAAATTACATGTTTAGATAGGCAAAAGAAATTTTCATAATGTAAACAGGAAAATGTCTGGGTTGGATAAATCTGTCCAACTGCTACTGCCCATTGGAGTATAGTTCCCATCCACAGCACCGTTAACTGGTAATGCAAAATTCCTGAAGTAAAAGGACCAAAATCTGAATAAAGTTGTCAAGGTTAAAAACTCTTGTCTAGATTACAGCCTTTTCCTTACTGGCACAGCTAGGCATTTCTGAATGCTAACACAAGCATGAAAAATACAGGTCCGGAATAAGCATTGCTTTACTCTTCTGAGTTGAGTGTTTGCTCTGGAGACCTGACAAACATAATGCTTTACTCCATGCAAGCTGCTGTACTTCTGGGCAAGAGAAGCAGATGGTACACAAATAACAAACAAACAAAAAAAAAAATCAAGCACAAGAGGGTACTAAATAAAACTTAAGTGTGAAACATTTGTTCAACCTTAGATTTCCTCCCTGTCCCATCTCAGTTAGTAATGATGAACTTAACAGGTTGATATTGTCACTTCCGTCTACATCCATTTGTTTTTGTAACTGCATACAGAAAAAGTGAGTCATTTATGTTGAGAGGAAGAAAATCAGATGTACACAATTCCTCTAAGTGAGCTGTCTGAACTTTTAAGAGCGTAACAAATTTCCACATATCAGCTGAAAATTACAGAACTCGTGCGCACAGAGTTTGCAGCAAAAAGGTGAAGAAACCCAGACTATTGTAGCTTGCTTTCACCGGTAACTAAGCTAAGTCGAATCGCTTTCCACATTACCCTTCTTCCACTGACCAAAAGCACGCCGTTTCACCACACTGATGCACACACGAGGTTGGGCATTTAAACACAAGGCCTGGCGGCTCAGGATGTGATTTCATGGTCAGTTTGAACAGAGATGAGTGAGGACTACCGTCAGAGATAGTGGCGCTTCACCTCCACCCCACCTCTAACTACTCACTCTCACCTGCTGCACTAGCATTCACGGTGGGCCGCATCAGCAAAATAATCTGTCTGAAAACTAAGCTAGAAGACAGACACATTTTCAGGTAACTGCACTAGCTCACCCACATCAGCCCGGTGGAAATCCTGCACTGCTGAGGAAAAAACCGACCCTTTCATCAGCAGACTCCACTTTTTGGCTGAAGTGACTACGGAATCTCACTCTTTCATGGGGAGTTCTTAAAACAGGTAAAATTTCTACTTAAATACCAACAGGGCTTACAAAAGCATTCAGGCATCTAAGTTCCATTAAAACAATACTACTTCAAAAGTTTAATATAAAAGCAGGCTATATTATATATTATAGGCTACATATATAGTATATATTATATAATATTAATAGAGCCTATAATATATATAGTATATAGGCTATATATAGCCTATAATATACATATTATATAATGTAGCCTATAATATATAATATTAGAGCCTATAAATATATATATTATAGGCTATATTATATAAATTAGCCTATGGCTAATTATTATTATAGACATAATCACAGTATCTCTGCCCCCTTTCTGCTTTGGTGATTTACAAGTAACAGTGAGAATTCTGCATAATTTGGAAAGGAAACTGTCAGAAAAGCTGCACCTTCAAGTGTTGCAACTGCACAGCATAAAGACTTCAAAACCACAGTTAGTTCTACCCAAATACCTCAATAAGATACTACACTGTACCTACAGAAATAAAGTGAGTCTGGAGCAATTAGAACGTGGCAAGAGAACTGTTGTCTTATTTTTTTTAATAGCTACTATACAAAAGGAGTTATAATAGCCTTCTTGTCTGGAAAGACAGACACAAGATAGTACCAAATTGTGTTTTACAGAATAAACCACAAACAAACAAAAAGAAAAGAAAAGAAAAGAAAAGAAAACAAAAAACAAGGGACCCTAAATGCCTGCTTCCACTTTTTCCTCTTGAAGAAACCATCACGATGCTGGTCCTCACCTGAAATGTCATGAAGTGCCATGATGATGGTGAGGGAAAAAGTCAATGCTGCACAGTCATATGTGATGGGAACAGTGTACCTATCCCTATAAAAGGACTCATTATGCACATTCATTAAATATATCCTACTGCTTTGCTTGAAAGCATTGCACCTGCAGCAGAGCCCATGTTCTAGGAACTGCTGCCAGCAAAAAGGCCAACTTCACCTGCTGTATTAGTTCCAACTGCAGTCTTGTTTTTGCATGAATGTGCTGACAGACAAAACATGACTAAAATCCTGTCTCCCCTTGACGCAATGAAAAAAATTGCATTAATTACACAGAGATTTAACCCGTTACTTAACAAATGCCTGAAAACACTGGGGGGGGAAGTTGGAAAGGCCAGGTGCTGTTGATGCAAACTCAGCAGAGTTGCTTTGCACACAAGTAAGCATACAATTAGTTAAATTACGAAATTTAATTAGTCAAAAATTAGTTAAAAACGAAAACCAAAAATGCAAGAAGGAAGCAAATGCAAGTAACAGCAGCTCACCTTTTGAGGGGGTGGTCCGTGGTCATCCAAATAAGTGGAATTTCCTACAAAAAGGATGGAGATAAACAAAAGTCATCCAATGCAACTTCAAAACTTGCCAATTCATGGAACCAGTGTATCTCTATCTCACTGGTTCTGTGGTGTCAAATAATTCTAGGAAAATAAATACCCTCTGCTTTAATTTTTGATTAACAAGGGAAAAACAAAACTAATTTGTTTTGGCTACATTCTTGATAAAAGATTAGACATACATTGCCATTTTAGCAAAAAACTAAATGGGCCAAGGCAGCTTTAATTAAATAATCACGGCATTCAATTATTTGCTTGACAAAAACTGTCAGCTGCATCCTTGTACATTTTAAGCAAGTGAGCACAGTCAACCTCAAAAAGATTTCTTAAATAATAAAGTATCAAAGGCCTTCATCAGATTTTGGTCTGATGGAGTTGACAAGCGTTCCCTTATCTCTCTTCTAACATGGATCATCCCCAACCTCCAAGGTACTTTTTTGTTCCCAAACAGTATCGATTGAATGGGAGTTGTACTCTGATGTAATTATACCTGCCCTTTCAAGATGCTCTTTTAATTCAGAGGAAACACTTCAGAAAAAAAAAAGCTTCTAAAATTTTTAAGTGCTCCCTTCTTAGTTAGCTACAATAAAAAAGGCAACAATTTCAGACTTTTTACCGATTGCTTACAAACACACACTGATATATAAAATACACCCTCCCACACACACCCATAGGCTGTCTTCCCTGCAACTGTCCTTCCTGAACCCTTCTCCCAAAGGATTAATCAGGAGCTTTCCCAACATGTCCCAGCAGAAGTTCAACTTGCTGCAAGGTTTGATAAGTTCCCCTCAGGCCACACATGCCTCTCCTCTCAGTCATCCTCCTACCAAAGACAGCAAAAATACCTCTGCTCTAACCTTACATCAGTACGGAGTAAGAGAATAATTTTTACAAGTGCCTACTAGATATCCAAACGTCACACGGAGGAGGACTGTAAAAAGCATGTCCCACTCGTGAGCATCTCCGTTCCTGGGGTGTTGAATGGGCAGCAGATACTGCCTCTGGGGCAATGCAGGCTAGCGGGAGTAAAACATAGTTTGGCACCAAAGAGCTCTTGTCTTGTCAATCTGGCCAAAAGGACACTGTGTCACATTGTTTTTCCTGGCACTCCGCAAAACAAAGAGATTTCTGGATCCAGGAGGCAGGAAGAAGTTTGTGTGTGAGCAAGTGTGATGAATTTCCATGTACAATAAAAAGTCAGGATTACTTTGCAGAAGTATTTTCCTTTCTGTTTTTTCTATGCTTTTCTAGCATGGGTTATGAAGTTATGAAAACTTGAGTCAAAAGGCTTCCAACTCGTCCAAAGGTAAGTCCCAATACCCCAGACTCGTTCTTTTACAGATGTATGTACCTTGATCTTGCAAGAGTTTGCACAACTACAAAAGCCTGAACAGTAACTTTTCAACGGTCGTCTGAAATCGTGCATCATCTTCTGAAGCATACCAGAAACTCATCTTTCTATACATTTGACACAAATACCCATCCTTCAAACAACCCAGTTGATTATTTTAATGCCATGGATAATATGGGTGATTCCTTATATTCAGGATAAATTCTATTATCCATTCCTCTGATATGATGCTAATTGCCAGGGAAGTAATTCAGTTCCCAGACTGCTAACAAGAGTTGTGTATGGCTTTCCAATAAAGTAGCTACTCCACACACAGTGAGATGGACTTGAAAAGAAGCATATCAGGAAAACAGAGTTACACCTGGGAGGGGAGCAAGCAAAGCTCTGTCAGTGCCTCTCCTTTCACACTCATTCAGGAATTAACTTTCCTGTAGGATCAGGCTGTTACTACATAGCTCACAGCAACTTTCTCCTCTTTGTAATTAATTAAGCTGAAAGACTGCCACTGTTGTTGATAAAAACAACACTTGTGGTTTTCTCATTGTGTCAGGAAAATTGTTTCATTTTGATCCATGCTAAAAACAAGTGATGCTTGCTAAAAAGCATTTTTGTTGTCTAAACAAGTTAACATGTTAGAAATGCCATAAACATTATATGAAAACTACTAATTTGTTAAAAAGAGTAACAAAACTTTGAGTTTTATAATTGGTATTAAGAAAGTTATATTAATAGTCATATATATCTCATCTCCTGGAAACATCGGCAGTTTATGCTCACCCAAATAAAAAGGAATATTAACTACATATGTATTAACTATATCTTTAGCAATCACCTATCACAGCCCATTTTGCTGTAGAGAAGGATTTGAATTACCACCTTCTCTTGAGAAAACAGATCATTACAGTCATAGTTTATACAGTATCTTACAGAGTAGCGTCAAGAGTGTCTGAGCTATATTACGGAAACCTTTTTGATATATTCCTTAAAATTAAGAAGCCAATAACAACCGATTTCACCTTTCTGTATCAGTAATCTATGTTCTTAGCATGCATGCTGCATTTTCCTTCCTTTGTAATTTTTTAATGATTAAAATTACATCAAAATATCCCTGGCTTTGAACATGCATCCTGTAGGTTTGATTTCTGCTCTCAAAATGTTTTCTGGGGCTTTTTGGTTTTGTTGTTGTGTTTTTGGTTTTGTTGTTTTGGTTTGTTTTTTTTTGTTTTGTTTTGTTTGTTTTTTTTTTACAGCACAGTCTAGTTACCACTGTATCCACTTAAAAGACAACAGTACAATTTTGGCCCATTTTATAAAGGTGGCAGTTACTTGCTCAAATCCAGAAGCAACTAACAGTGATAGAAACTAATTGCCAGACAGACACAACTGATCACAGAAATTAAGAGTACTGATTTGAAACCTAGTCAGAATAGCTTACAAATGAAGAGCAGAGGAAAGAAAGCTGCAGACATTCCCCACTCCCTTACGCTGCTGGGCTGAGCTAGTTCCCTTCCCCTGCCAGATCTCCTACTTCTGCTCCTCAGGCATAGGAACCAGCGCCGATCTCAGCATCCACAGCACGCCACATCAATTCAATAGTCTGAATTCTTTTGGGTTCAAGTTTAAAATGAGTATTTGTTTTCAGTAATAAAAGCGAAACCTTTTGCTGGATGATTCATACCATGCCCTAAGTAAAACACACTAAAATAACTCAACAACTCCAGCTGCGACGGAGTGGAGGGGGCAGGCTCTGGGGTAGGCCGGCCAGTTCCTTAACCCTGCAAAGTTCCTGCACGTGTTCTCACTAATCATCGTATCATAGAATTGGGCTTGCTTCCATTCTGCTTGCAAAACAGAAGCCACACTACAGGAGCCTTAATGCACGCAGAAATAGCCTGAAAAACGCGCACCTAGGTCAGAATATTTCTGCAGAAAACCTGCAGGAAAGATGATGACTTTCTAGCACAAGAGGCGGCCACGAAAAGCATATTAAGCATGACTCCTGAGTTGGATATTTACAAATTTTATGAACTTAAGACAGGATGCCGCTTTGACACATAGGGCCACTTTTCAGAGAATACATATCAGACTATGTTAGTTTAAAAACAAAAGAAAAATTCAGCATTATAAATATCGCAACAATGGAGAAATACCAAGGTAAAGCCAATCTATGACCTATTGTCTACTAAGAGATGACAAAGTAGTACAAAAAGGAGAGTTGCGCAGTGAAAATCAGGGACTTAGGAATGAATACCATAAACACTGAAACCACTGTTCATAAGCTCAAGTGTTTACATCAACACGACAAGCTTATCTAAGATGGAGAAAATTATTATGCAGCTTTTATATGATCTGGCACAGACAGCATGTGTTTGACACCACTAAGTGCCACAAGAAGAGAAGAGCCTTTCTGTGGTGGAAATGATAAAGCGATAGAAGAGGAGGTCATCTTCCCTCATCAAGAATCTAGTTTTGCCCCGAAGCAACCTATGTCATTAAATTATTACAATGACTTCTCTGAAGTCCTTTAATAAAGCTTTACTAAAGACATCATTGCTCTTGTCTGTTGCCCGACAAGACGCTTCTAGATTTTTCTTCTTTTTTTTCCTGGAGAGGAGTATTTATTCTTTAAAAATGAAATTTTCTGCCTTATAATATATTCTGCCTTCCTGTAATAGCATGAAAGTCTAAGGCATTAGAAACAAGTCAGACAGAATAATCAAGTCCCAGAACAGTGGTATTATGCATTCCACAAACATGCTCAACAACACACTTGAGCTGACTGAACACAGTCTCCTCCAGTCTCTGTCAGAAAAAAAAAGAAAAAAAAAAGAATTCAGCTTTTTTACAGAACATGGTGAATACGTGGAAGCAGTCCAAATTTTTCCGTAATTTATTATCTTTGAGGTTAAGTGAATCAGCTGTATGCAAAATCTTTGAGGAAACCTTGTGGTTATGTTCCTTTTTTCTTGGAATCACTGAAGTGTGGGGGTTTTGCTTGAAGCAAGCCAAGTTTATACAGAGAAAGATGGTCAGTCACCAGGATTTAGGACAAATATTACTGTGTCCAGTTCAGAACCACAGAAAAAAAGAATAACTGCAATCTTGGAAAAAACTTTTCCAAAAAATGACCAGGGAGTACAGGAGGTGGTGGTAAATGGGCTGATGTATGAACTGAAGACCCTTTGATAGCAACCGAAACAGAATCACTCCATTTGAACAATTTAGATATCATGTGGAAAGAATTGAGTAGAGATGAAGAGAGAAAGCCAATATGGAAAATGTGGAGTTTTGACTGTTTTCCTGGAGCAGGGTTTTCCCTTGGTGGGAATCACAAGCAGCAGTTTAAGGGAGCTGGGATCTAGCTACTGCCTAATTTAATGGGTCTTGTGAAAATCCCACTTTGTTCTCTTCACTTGGTCACTGTCTCAAAATTCCAGGCGCCAATACAACCTTTACTGGCATAGCATCCCTTAGATCATCTGACGTCTAAAGGAAAGGAAGTTTAGTAGTTGTCTGACGAGCCTTCTGGTCTGGAAGTTAAGGCTTTGAAGAACAACTCCCCCACCAAGCACCCCTAATTATTAAGAACTGCACCTTCAAAATAAACAAAAGTGCCAGTGAGTAATCAGGA